CCCTAACCCTAACCCTAACCCTAAACCCTAACCCTAACCCTAACCCTAACCCTAACCCTAACCCTAACCCTAACCCTAACCCTAACTATATATATACTTATGTATATTTAAACGGTATATTAGTCCTAAAACGTAAATACCATTTAAATCCTGATTTCGTCCTAATCCTAGGGCTAGCCTTTAAACGCGGCCTCTAAAAAAAAAAGCCAGGACCATTATAAAATAACCACTAATATACCCATATATAAGTACGGCTCTATATACCTAACCGGGTAGGTTTAGATCCCTAACGCCGTATAAAAGCATAGCAGCAAATTAAAATATACCTACCCGCCAACCTAAATCTTAACTAAAATAATAAAAAACAAAAATACGGCCCAGTTAAGTATCTTATCGTCGCCCCGAGAACGGATACCCTCAACCCCTTCTCTATCATCGTCACTATCCTAGCCGCTATAAAACCCACTATCGTAGCTACTAACAATACTACTCCTATCCAGCTTAACTACTATATCATATAACAAGCCCCATTACTCATTCGTAAAACGGATAGCCCGACGCTCTAACGCCTCGTCTCTTCCAATCCAATATACCCGCCAATAAAAGCCTAAATACCAATACCCCACCAACCAGTATTTAATTATAAACGCCTCCTTACCCTTAAAACCAAACGGTATCCCGCTAAGGCTAATACTCACAATACTAATAAACCACTAAAACGTCTCGGCTAATACACTATTTAATCGCTAGCTATACCATTTTACCTCGTAATTAAAGCTCTCCTTAAAATATAGTAAAACTAATCGCTCCCGTACGGCCTCTTTATCCCGTTCCTAATCTTATCCTAACGCTATACTCTTAACCTATATCTACTTAATAGCATCATAAATCCTAAAAAGATCGTAAGACCTAAAATACTTAACTTATTATAGCCTCTTTACTTATAATAAATCCCGGTCTATATCTTCCTTTAAGTCCCCTATTCTTAGCCGCTCGGCATCCTTAATATTAAGTTCGGCTATATACTAGGCCATTATTAGCTCTATAGTATCCTTCCCGCCGCTATTACCTAAACTAGATCCTACCTCGGTTTCGTTATTACTAATAATCCAATATCGTACATACTTCCCGCATATCCATATCTATAACCAGACCGCTATTAACTTCGGCCTAATTACCATATACCCGGCCTCCCGCTAATAACGTATAATATTATCTCTTACTATAATAAAATAGCGGCATATAAAGTAACTATACCCCCATAAAACGTCAAGCTATTCAATAACCGAGCTACTATCGCCGGATAGAGCATTAACCTTTAAATTAGCCAGATCCAAATAACTATAATAATCCTTAATATCTCTAAAAACCTCTCCTTTCAGCTAATACTCATAACGGAAGTACGACTTAATACCGCTTCCGGATCGGATAACTACTTTACATTTCTAATAGATAAGCATATAATACTTCTCGTTAATCTCAATAAAACTATCCATAGCAATTCAATACCGCTTTATACTCTCTAATAGTAAATAAACAATATAAAATAATCTTCCCATCTATCATTTTTTAATTACCTTATTAATACCCCTTTCTCGTAACTTAACCCTAATAACTATCTATATAACCCCAACCCCGAGTCTCCGGTTAATAAGAAGCACCGACCAATCATAGCGCCGACCTAACTCCAACCGATATTACTCCAAAGCTCGGATCACATTTTACAGTTTATATGGCCGTTTCTACTTGAATCGCCTCTGAATAATACCTAGGATCGATTACAGGTAATACAGTCATAGGACGACCTGTGAGCAGGAGAGTCGTGCAGATGTTGTTAAAGAGCCTCCTCATTTCCAAAGGACCGATTGCAACTTTCGCAATCATAGGACGGCCTGTGAACAGGTGAGTCACGTCGGTGCTGCTGAATAGCTTCATCGTTGCCAAAGGATCGGTTGCAGGTATCACAGTCATAGGATGGTTTGTGAACAGGAGAATCGCGTAAGTGCTGTTCAAGAGCCTCGTCGTTGCCAAAGGAACGATCGCAGATATCACAGTCGTAGGACGGACTATGGATAGGAGAGTCGCGCATGTGTTGTTGAAGAGCTTCTTCGCTGCTGAAGGATCGGTTACATGTAACACAGCGGGAGCTCATTGTGCCAGAAATGCCGTACGATTAATGTTGATCATGGTACTCAGAAGGATCGCACGGAATGGTTGGAAATAGAGCCATCAATCCAATTATGAACTCGGCGCATGGAACATAAGTATGTCGTAAAACTGCGGCTTCACACTATCGTCCAATGAAACTATGACACATGGTGCTGTTCCCGTCGTAAATTATCTACCTGCCTCAACCAACCCAACCTGGGAAAGACAAGGGGGAGAAGAACTTGCAGTAGCCCAAGAACAACGTCAACCACCGATATGCCCCATGACCATTGCTCCTATGAGGCAGTTAGCTGTAGTAGAAGCCACGTAATGACGATGCTATTGATCTATCTGTTATGGCTGGGGTGGAGCGCGACTCAAGGAGCCGTTTTTGACCTTGATATAAGGAAGGCTTTTGCTGGATAATCGATATCGGTTGGACGTTTGTTCGCTTCCTCCGGATCATGGGGTATCTGTGGTTCTTGGCCGAGGAACCCGTTCCCACCGGCGAAGCGGGGTTCGTTCATGTGCTATGTATGTTCCCAGCCCTTGCATCTTGTCATAGGTTGGAGGCGCAGGTTCAGTAATATCGAATCTAGACACATGCATTAAGGCGGCAGATGTACTCGTTTGCGCAGGGCATAGCCTTACCAGACACCAGTGTTTGATGGGAAGAGAAGTGTAATCCCAGACGAGCGAGCGGGAACGTGTGGGATGGTAACATGCCTGCAACGCCCGGGGTTTTGGCCACTCAAACATCCTTGTGCGCCAGCTGATGTGGATTTACCTGCAAATGATCGCCTCATTGTTGGTGCATTGCGCAGAGAACAACAACCAACCGCCGTTATGTCCCAACTGGTTCGGCGCACGACATAAAGCTATCGTTGGTTCCGAGCGGGGTTGACATTAGGCAACAATTAGGCACTTATTATCGCTAATTTCGCGAGGCTTCGGCAGGCAAAGTGGACCATGAGCTGATCAATTGGGAACAAGGCATGCTGCATAGGACGAGGGGGGTCAACCGCCGCAGCATCGTGATCAGCGCACTCGTTGCTCGCCGGAATGTCGGCGTCTGCGACCCGAAAGCGACTCTTGAGCTAATGCCCTGGCAGATGAGGATGTTTGAGTGTTTGTCCGCTCGGTTCTAGCGGAGAACAGCCCGGTTGCAGCTGGTAAGGAGCCATGAGAGCTCCGGCCAATGGTAAAGTCTTCGGTTCGGGTCGCCAAATTTAGCGACGGATGTTGGGCGCTACACAGTCCCTAGTACCTCGACCAAAGCAAAGGCTTCTGGGCCATGCACTGGTCCCTGTCTTGATATGGAAATGCCCGGCCAGGGAGGGCGTCAATCCCAGCGATCTTAGAGGCATTCGACCCTCCCTTAGTCTGTTTTGCTTCGTGCCGCGAGATACTTATCTAGTCTCTTGGAAGAAAGTGAGTAGGATTACGTTTGCCCATATCCATGTTGTAGGCACACGAAACAGTACTCGTCTAAGGCCAACCTACTAAGGCATTTTTTACCCGTAAGTAAATTCTACTTGCCGTTTGACGATGGCTCATGTGGATGAGACCTAGATTTTACAGAGCGTGACTTCATGGATCTCCATTGCCCGCTCTGCCTCAAATCGACCAGAAATTTAGGAGCGCTCTCTGCACATTGGGAAATATCCTGCAAAAAGAAATCCAGTACCCGCCATCTAGCTGGTTCAGACGAACGTAATAGACTTAGTGTCTTCGAGAAGCAAAAGGCAGAGTGCAGTGAGCATTTGACAGTGGCGTTGAATGAAAGACGCCATAATCAGCGCAAAAAGAATTGTCACAAGAGGGTGACTTCATTGGGGAGTTTTGACTCGGATAGCTGCATACACATACCGGGAGTTTCCATTGGCAATACAGGGCAGGCGGAGCTCACTGCAAATCTTCAGCCTGACAACCATTGTGGTCCGTTTTCAAATTCGCCAGAACATGGAGGTACACATACCTCACTGTTGACTATTGACCCAAGCTGGGCACCTGCTCGAAATGTACAAAGCAGCAACGACACATGGTCAATCAGCAATGAATGGTGGAGCGCCGACTTCGGTTACGGAACTGAACTCAATGGCGAGCTGGGGCCTGGTGCAGATTCTGATTAAGAGGCATGGTTTCTCGACTCATCGCTGCCGCCCTCGTAATCACCATAAATAGCTACTACGGAGTTCCCTGCAGCCAACGGTGCTTTATAACTTCTTCGATTGGTATTCTGCTCGTCGGGTTCAGATTTGTCATTCCCGATATCAAGTCCTGTGCCTCACGGCCAAGCTCCGCGCTCCAATTTGTGAACCTCAAGCCAGGTTGGTCTCTCACTCCACCCTCTGCCGCCGCTGAAGCTGACCGCAGAGCGCGAGTCCACTTTTCATTGCTAGCCTGCTCGAAAAGTTCTTCGGGGGCTGGTCCAAAGTAGGAAAAGTGTCGAGTGATTATATCCTGCTCTGCGGTAATACCATCTCTTGTAAGCTCTTCGTAATCGTCTATGAGCAGCAACTTACCGCCTCCAAAGACGTATATGCACTGTAACCGAAGCTTAGCGAGGATCACTCTGCAACATTTCGCCGCAAGTTACTCACAACTAGTCCAAATGAGAACACATCTGATGCCTTGCTAGTAATTCCCGTCTGTCCCTCTGGACTCCGCCACATTACGTTGCCTATTGCGGAACGGGTCCGACGTGAAAGTTGTCCGCTTGGCAACTCGTAAGCAATATCAAAATCGCCAAGAGCCACATCGGTGACGGTTTTAGTCCCCTGATCATCGCAAGTCCAGTTTACTAGTATATTGTCAGGCTTTATATCTGTTAATAACATTAGTTCAATTTGTCACATTTTGGCAACGGTGTCGTGGAAATCATACCGCAGTGTATCCAGCCCTTGGTATGAAGCTCCTGTATTGCTTCTGCAGTGCCTCGCAAAATTTTCTTCCGCTCCGCTGTGGGCAGGTTCCCATCGCCTTCAATCAAAGAAAGCAGTGTGTCTTGATAATAGGGATAAATAAGGATTCCTTCTTCCGGGTTGCAATCAGTGTGCATCCGAAGCCGGCGGCAGCTTGCAAAGTGGGTGGCAAGACGTAGAGACAGATCGTAGTCCTCCTTGGTCACACTTTTAAGGATAAAAACCTCCTCTTTGGACCTGAACAAGATATGTCAATGGGACTTCTGAATCATGAGACAAATGCATGGATTTGAGAATACTTGGCTTTGATGATGAGCGGAACAAGGTCGCTACGACGCTGCCGGAGCACCTCGCCTATGGTATAAGAGCGACCATGAACCCCCACTACGGTGGACATTGTTCTGATGCTTTGATGGTTGGCGAGACGACGAAAGAATATGTGACCGCTAAGATGTTTAAGAGACATTGAGATTTAATTTGAGTTGCATAATGTAGGTAAGAAGAAGGCGACATGATTACGGGAAAGCCGTATTATTAGAAATACTCTCGACCAACCGGAGTTCGCTTATATTTTAACCCGTCCAACTGCTCAATCGGTGACTCCGTTCCTTAGGGACTAAGGTACGTACCTGGGAATAATGGTACCCTGGACATGGCCTTTAGCGCCAGTTAGCTACTAATAGCGAACAGCCATAGCCGCCAATCCTTACCTTCTCTCTTCACTATCTCTCTTCGCCATCTCTCTTCGTCATCTCTCTTCGCCATCTCTCTTTATTATTTCTCCTCATCACTTCTCCTCATCACTTCTCCTCGTCACATCTCCTCGTCATTTCTCTTTGTTATTTCTCTTGGTTGTTTCTCTTTACTACTTCTTTTCTAGTATAATTTTTCAACCTATATATTGAGGACGACCTATGTATATAGAGGCATCGTTACTCTCTTAAACATTCGACTATTCTGACGTATTATCCAGTTTCTTATTACAATCTACCTAAGCTTCTCCTTTAATTACACTTTTAAAAATGAATCCTATTATAGTTGAGTCGTTTAAGACAATTAGTGAAATGGTCTTAAAGCCTAATCGGGTTATTACTCTTGCATATGCAGTCAAAAACCACGCCATGGAAGCGGATCCTCTTGTCAGACGGTGCAAAGGCTGATTTTGCCGCAGCAATGGAAAAGGCAGATGTTCCTGATAAGGCCTCAACTGCTGTTTTAGTGTAAGTACCGGTCCCTAAAGTTTTCTCTAGATGCGCGTCGGAAATTTACCTGGACTCTAGTGAAACTTTACATGAGAGCCAAAAAGATACCGAGCCTCATTATACCACTGTATATCTAGATAAGGACGATAAAGACCTCACAACTAAACATATCTACCCTTAATTAATAAATAGCACAGTCGTCAGGGTGGGCATAACTAGGGGGAGAGTGCCAATAGTGGGGGAGAGTTCCATAAGTGTTTAGCCCGGTATAGTTATAGGGACTATAGTAGATTTATAAGTTTTATAGATTATCTAGATAGTATCTATCATAGTATTACGATATGAAATTGTAATTTTGCTACAGAGATATCTATATTATCTGATTGAGTATTCTTATTACCTTGAGAGTATTATTATGCCTTCAAGGGCTTTGTATGACTTCGGCTCGAAATTAGTATTGTAAATCATCATAATATAGATTCTCAATAGACACAACTCCAGCAGCAAGGTCAGTATCTCCGCTTCCCCATTTACATATAAATGGCTTAGAGGTCGCGTTTCTAAATGCCGTGTCTGCTTGATATCTTATCTTCCATCTTTCTAGGTGCATGTAAGCCGCGGGAGTAAGCCCTTAGGGCGAAACCACAGGCCCTACATAGAATATCCAACAAATGTTTACGTATAGCGGATTAGATTAACTTTTCATCTTAAGGCTTCAGTCGCTGTATCCCTATCTATCACAAGTCATGACACATAGCGATGGGCATATGAAGTGGGTTCAAGTAACTTAAAGTAGTCCATCTAGAAAGAATAAAAGACAACAGTCAATATACTACAAGAATGTAATATCCACGTCATGAAACACGTGGCGAGGCGCCTGTTGAGAACTGGTCAAATAACATTCAAATTTCGTGACACTATCTCTCTCTAGGTTCAGGCTATTTCCGAGGCATCTTATTGAAGCGAACGGGCTCTTTGCCTTCACTGCACCAATTCAGACTAGGATAGACTACATCACTATATCAAGATAGGTCTCGATGATACGCGGTACCGTTTACTATAGGAACACTTATACAAATACCGACCCGAGTAATCTCCTAAGACGGATCTTTGGATTACAAAGGTCCTATCCATTTCGAACGAGCGCGATAAGTTTACGGCCCATATTGCTCGTCTCTTATATTTTACTTGCCTATATAGACCGACCTTAACCATTATTAACACCGCTAGTGGTTCCAAATCGCCTATCGCAAAAGAGGCAAAGGCATATCGCCAAGATACAACCGATGCTTCGTCATCGAGGATTCAGTGACGTCTCCGTTATCCACTGCGATAGCTGGCTGCTATTCCTAGGTTCTTACATTAACCGGCCGATCGTCTTTCCTCCTCCTTCTGGGGCCTATTCATACGCATAAGACCGGTTCACTTATACACTCTCTTCTTACTACGTATTCTTCTTATCCTACTGTATCTCTCGGCAATGCGTAAACACTCTAATTTGGCACACCCCCGACCCCCCTCCGACCGAGAATTTTGCGCCCCTTCAACCTTCTCTCAAGGCCTTCGGTCAATGGGCCAGAGATGCTGGGCGTTTGGGCAGTATTTCTTCTCTGTCCGCACGTCTACACGTGCATCAAACACAACACTTCGAACATGACATGAGTGACAAACTACAAAATTAATGCAACAAGGAAGAATCTTTCATGTAGCTAGGCAACGAACGCGAGCACTCGACCAGCTTGCGTTCACCCAGTAAGGCCATCCTCAATATATTAAGGTAGTGAACTCAACGAAGCTGGCGATCTTCAGAAACAAATACTTTGGCGAAGCGATGTTTCACATTAGTAAAGAAGCACCGTCGCATCTGCCCCAGGTCAGCTTTTTCTAGTGACCACAGATGAGATCGAAGCGTTAATCATCCTTACCATATACATAGTTTACTTAGTTTCGGCCTACATCACCTTGTTGAGGGTTAGACTTTGGCTTTGTTAAGTACCTAGGCTGAAGTACCTTTCTGACTACGCAAGATTGTTGTTACTCAGAAAGTAGTAGTCGAGTGAAAAAAAATATGTCTGTTGGTAAGGAGAACCTAAATTCGGTCCTAAACATAACTCGTATTCGGCAACTCGTAGAGCCTGCGGCAACCCATGATCAGATTTTCTAACCGGCCCAACTAAGTAGGCATGCAAAGAAGGGTAAGGATTCAACAATAGCAAGATGAGTTTACTGAGATTGGTACTATTTACTTTTATTTACAAATGGCAAGTTTCCACACTTGAAAGTATACACATAAAAGAGCACAACCACATATTTAGAAGCTGTGGTGAGCACGACGGAAACGCTGAAGACGTTCGAGGCGCTTAACAGAACGCTTGCAACCAGTCGAGCCAGAGCCAGAGCCAGAGCTAGACTCAGAGCCAGAGTTGGTACCACTGCCAGCTCCTCCAAGGATCTGGGCAGCAGCGTGCTCGGCAGCAACCATGACAATAGCCTGGGTGTTACCGGTGGGCAAGTCAGGGTGAATAGAGGCATCGACGACGTAGAGGTTGTCAGTGCCCCAGACCTTGGTGTTGGTATCAACGACACTGTTTCCGTCGTTGGTGGAACCCATGACAGCGCTGCCGACAAAGTGGCTGCCGGTGGTATGCTCGGAAATGAGGCTCTCAGCGGTGACGTTGCCAGACAGAGTCAAAGTGCTGTTGGACTTGGAGGCGTACTGGATGAGCTGGTTCATGAAGCTGGTGATAGCTTCCTTATCCTCAGTGGTGGTAAGGTAGGGTTCAGTAGTGAGCTTGGTGGAGCCGTCGGCGGAGATGCCGAGAGCGCCGACGGAGGTGAGACCGTGGGTGAGGTAGACCTTGACGCGAATGGTGTCGTTAGCAGGGGAGTTGACAGTGCCCTGGACGTATCTCTTGCCGCCATCAGAGCCTTCGACGCTTGTCCAGAAGTTCAGACGCTGTCCAGCCTGGCTAAGAAGTCCAGATCCCTGGGCGAACTGGTCGACATCGGTCTGGCTAGGAGCGGTGAAGGCGGTGCTGGCCAAGGAGTTGAGAGTGGACTTGGTCTTGAAGTTGACGGTGAAAATGGGGTGATCCTTGAGGTTCTGGCCAACGGGGAGGTCGATCCATTGGGCCTCGGCGGGGAGAGTGACCTGAGCAGTTCCGTTCTGAACAGTCTGGATCTGCTCCTTGGGGCCGATACCGCTGTTGAATAGGATACGAGGGGAAGAAAGAGCACCAGCAGCGAGGATGGCGGCGCCGCCGGACTTCAAGTTGATGATCTGGCGAACGTTGGTAGCGGTCTCGATCTCGACACCAGTAATGTTGGTACCGTTGCGGATGGCACGGATGACCTTGGCGTTAAGCTGCAACTTAAAGTTGGGCAAAGCCTGGGCGAGGGGCAGGTAGTCACGGACGGGGCCGCCGCGCATACCGTTCTCGATCAACCAAGGAGGGTGGGTAAAGACCGCCTCCTTCTTGTCGGGCTCGGCGAGAGCGTCAACCTCGCTGAAGCCATTGCCGGCCAGCCACTGGGACATGACATCGTAGGCGCCCTGGTCATAACGCTTTCCGTCCTTGCTGGCCAGGATAGTTCCCGGTGTTCGCTCGTAGAGCTTGTTGGCAGACTCTTCAACGCTGCTCCACTTCCAGCCTGTGGGCCACTTGTCGTCGAAGTCATGCGCGGGAGGCTTAACCCACATCATGGCGTTGACCATGGTTGAGCCGCCGAGAATGCAGCCAGCCTGGGAAGCCGTATCCGTGCAGTACTCGTTGGTCTCCTTGGCGGTTGAGAGGTAGTAACCCATAGCAGGAACGTCGTACTGGGTGACAGTGCTGTTCCAGTCAACAGTAGCCTTGCCACCGCTTGACGCCAAAGAAGCTCCTCCGCGCTCAAGGAGAAGGACGCTCTTGCCAGACTCGGCCAGACGCTCGGCAACAATAAGACCGGCAGCACCACCACCGGCGACGATGTAATCGTAGGTCGTGTTGGAGACCGTGGTGGTAATGTTGGCGGGGACGGATGGAGATGTTCCATTGCCAGTGCCGGGAGTGGTGACAGCATCGGAAGCCTTCGCGGCCCAAGTGGCGTAATCGGCAGACTTGGCATCGGCGAGGTTTGCACCGAAGAGACCAAACCCGGCCCCGTGGTAGTTGAGAGCGATAGAAGTGCTGGTGGTATCAGAGAGGGCAGTGGTCGAGTAAGCCCAGCCAAAGGTGGTGGTATCAGATGTGCCGGTGAAGGTGGTTGTGTCACCGGTAATGCAGCCCTCGCAGACAAAAGTGTAAGTAAAGGCAGTGGCGTTGATGGAGGTGCCAGACTCAATAGGCTTGAGAGTGATACCAGAGTCGGTCACAACGTCAGGGTTCGAGTATCCTGACGCCTTGCGGATGGAAGTTTGGATAGACTCTCCGTTGGGCCATGCAACAACAAGTAGCTTGTTGGTCATGGGACCACCCAGAGAGACGGAGGCCCATCCAGCAGTGATGGGAGCAGAGATCTGGCCGATGAAGTCCTTGCCAACAGTCGAAGGCAGGGCGACACCGAATGAGAATCCAGACGTTTCGGTATATCTCTGGAAGGTGATGCCAGTTGCGGAGTCGACATATGAGGTTGTCTGCTGAGCTACGGCAGCCGCAGCCAACAGTCCCGTGGTAAGAAGGGACTTGAACATGATGAATGATTGTGGGGATTGACGGCCTAGAAGTGAATGTGTGAATCTGACGTCGATATGCGAAAAATGCGTCTGGTGGGAAATGAATGGAACACGAGAGTGTCAAAGAGAGTGTACACCCGTCGCAGATGGGTAAAAGAAAGTGGAACAGCAACCAGCGCAAATGGGAACAGAAATGAAGTTGTTAGAGAGAAGAGCCAAGCGTAGATGGACAATGCCAGAGGAGGTGTGCCAACCATTATATATGTGTCTTGTCTTCAGCGACGAGCCATGGCTACGCAAGACCCAAATCGGGACAGACGGCTTCGAGGTGCCATGGCTACCCCCAGTTTCGAGCCCCATTCGGAGGGGAGGGGGGTCAGCAAAATGCATCTGATATTGTAGATCCGCACTGATCCGGCCAAGACTGTGGGAATTGTCGGGACCCGGCAGCGTGGATATAGTGATGTAGCTCATTATCATGGCCTGACGATGGAAAGATGAACCACCGCCATCAACGCCCTTCAGCGAATAGGGGAATGTTCAATAGTAAAACGAGTCATTCGGATAGAAGAGCGAGGTTCGTCGGGTGACGTCCGCTCGGAGGGCCATCCCGGAGCTCGATC